AGGTTGAGCAGCGCTTTGCCTCTCGTTGGCCCGTAGACTTCTCGTTGCTACTGCAGTGAGACTAACCGCTGTGTAGTTCCCCACATCCCCCTCCTTGCCTCTTTTAAAGAAGGGTGCCATGCTGGCCCGTCTCCCGCAACTTGGTGAAGATCACGGCCGAGGGCTCTGGCATCTCTGCCCCTTCCTTCAGGACCCTGTGCTGAGGCTCCTCCGGCCCTGCTGACTGAACTTGCTCTAAATTAACAAGAGATGGTCTGAGAGCTTTGGATATCTATCTCCTCCTCCTTTCCTTCTGTGCCCAGATGATCCCCACTCAGTGTCTGGCTACAGCTTCATTTTTCTGTGAAGACTGAGAGCAACGTAGGTGTGGAGCAGCTCCACCTTCTTCACCTCTTCGGTTCTGAGTTCCCTGGCTCCTTAACAGCTTCCCGGGTCCTTCTTTTCTTGCCAACACCTTGTGCGCGATTCCCCTGCCAGGTGCAGCTGTCCCCATCTTTGCCTTCCGGGTCTTGCCCTGAAGGTCTGGCTGTTTCCTGTCTGTGTCCTGGGTGATCTGCGCGTCCTTCCATTGCCACATGCTTTCCTCTTGCACCTGAGGGGTTTTCACAGCCTCCTGCAGTCTCACTGGGCTTTTGCCTTTCTTGTGCTTCCATTCTCCCAGGACAGGTGCATGGTGGAAGTGCAACTGTCTCCTTCAGTCCATCCTGCCCTGCCCCTATCAGCGCCTTGAGGCAGATGACATGACCCAGGGCCTTCCCTGTCTCAGGAGCTGGGACTGTAGTGTCGTGATTGCTTGCTCCACGCTGTCACCTTCACACCCTGCACAAGTTCCTCCCGGGGGTTGGGATGGATGCGAGATGGAGCATGCCCTAGTTGTGCCCCGTGTCCTCTGGCACTGCCCTGTGTACTCACACAAGTTAGGACCCGGCCTGGCCCCTCGCGTTGGGCTGCGCAGTCTCAGGACGTTGCTGGAGGCCAGCAGTCCTCCCATGGGGCCCGGGCCACATCCATCCGTGCGCTCATCTGCCTCCGTGCAGGGCTATGCTCTCCGCCCCCTGTGGCGTCGCCCCTTCCCCCTCCCGTCCGGGGCCTGGCACTGGCCCAGCTCTGCCTCTCCCCGCAGGGCCATGATGTACTCGGGGGAGCTGAAGTTCGAGCGCAGGACAGCATCGGCGCAGGTGGAAGGCGGGGTGCACGGCCTGCACTCGTGAGTGCCCAGGCGCGGGGGGCTGGGCTGGGCTGGGCTGTGGGGGGCGGGGGCTGCCCTGTGCTAACCGGCCTGTCCCGCAGGTACGAGAAGCGGCTGTTCTGAGTGCCCTGCCCGCCCCGCTGCTCGCTGAAGTGCCCTTGCCCGCGACACCTGGACCGGACAGGACCGGCTGGGTGTGGGGGGAACGCGCATGTGCGGCACTGCCAATAAACGGGGAAGGGCGTGGCCCCCCCTGCACTGTCCCGGCTCTTTGCGTGCTTCTGGGGACTCTGGGGAGTGCGTCCCCACGGGCTGACGGCGGCCCCGCTCCCCAGCCCCGAACGGTGGGGCAGCACACATGGCGGTCCTCTCGGCCAGTCGGTGGCAGAGGGAGGCAGGTGGATGCCATCTTGCCCATTCCCTTCGTGCTGCTCATGACAAGTGAACTGAAACCTGGTCTCCACCCATGTGACTCGTATGCGCACGCAGCCGCTCCCCCCGTCTGTATCCCCAGCGCATGCACGCAAAGTGGCACAGGGTGCGTACACGTGCGTGCACATTTGAGGGAAACACCGAACCTGGCAAGGCGCAGTCCCGTGCTTGATCATCTCTTCCCATTTCGCAACTGCCATGGGGCCCTCCCACCAGCGACCGGCAGTGACATGGGTGACCCTCCCCTGCAAGGGACTGGTGGGGGGGGGGCCCGCTATGTGTGCATGCATGAGGGCACGCAATTGTGCACGCACATCTGCACACGTGCTTCTGCGGCCCCCGATGTGCGCGTTGCCCACTCCCACCAGCAACGTGCGGTCACGTGCTCAGCCCCGTCTCCAATCTCATCCGTTCCATGTGGTCACGTGCCCCGGTCAGGTGACAGTGGGGGGGGGGACGTATGTACACGTTTGGACACGTGCACTTGTATCTGCACACGTGAGACAGAGCTGTCCCCTCCCACCAGCACCAGGTCCGGTGGGGGAGCACTGCGTGCACACGCCCCCTCCCCCAAGCACAGGGCACCGCAGCCCAATTTACACACTTGTGCATGGTGGAGGGCCCTCACCCTGTAGCAAGTCCCAGGAGCCCTGCCAGAGCTGCACAAGTACATGCAGGGCCTGCATGTGTGTGCACGCAGCCATGTCTGTGGCAGCACGAGCAAGGGTGTCTCTCCCCACCATGGCTCCCATTGAAAGGCTGCGTGTGTGTGCATGCACCCACATGTACACATGCACGTGCCCGTGCCACAGCCACATAGGCTGCATCCTGTGCTTGGCTCACGCCCTCTGCTCCTGGCCCTAGCCCAGCTCAGCTGCTCATGGCCCTGCTCACACCACCGATGTCAACTGTGCACAGCTACATCTCATGCATGTGCATCAGAACCACCATGTGCACAACAGGGACACACAACCCTTGTGCCTGGGGCACTCACACCACAGGGGCTGCTACAGGCCCCATCCCCTTGGCACCACTGCACCCAGACATCCCTCTGTGGCACCCACGGCCCCTCTTCCTGTCCCCAAAACGCACTCGGGGGCCGAGCCCGGGCCAGCCCCACATGGCCCTCACTGCCCATTGCTGTGCGGGAGACCTAGCCGGGTTCCCCATGCTCACTTCTGGGGCAGGGCTCCACGTCCTGAGCACCCAGGAGAGGGCAGGGCAGGAGTGTGGGGAGGGGAGAGCTGCCTGCAGCCTCGTGGAGCCCAGTGCCCAGGCTGGCAGTGAGCGCAGGCAGCGGCTGCGCAAGGCTGCAGCCTCTGCCGCGGTCTCCAGCTTCAGGCCTTGCTTCCTCTCGGCCGCCGACAGCACCGGGGGGCTCTCACCAGGCAGCCGAGCCCCAGCAGCCCTTCCCAAGACCCAGCCA